CGACAAGAACACCTACAAGTGTAGTGAGCGTAATCCAGGATAATATAATCTCGTCCCTCCATTTCACAGAGGAAATCTGGACCGCCCGATTACCATATTTGCGTTCCGAGTAATAGATTCCTTACCGTCCCGACCCGAGCGTCCCCATTTTCAGCATAATCAGGATTCACGATGCAATCACTGAGCGCCACGTGGAACTGAGATGCCGTACCGACGACGGCATCAACAAAATTACCGAATGGCAGCCCAAAATAGTAAGTTGGTAAGTACCATTTCGGCTGCGGTCCGGCGATGGCACTTGAAGACCATTACCAATATATTATTTAACCTTTTAAATGAAACCAGTCTAACCCTAAGCATATATTTGGATAAAAATTAGTAAAGACAAGTGAAGGAAAGGAAGGAGAAGGTAAGGAGAGTAAAGAATTAGTATTGATTTTGTTTGGATAAATTAAAAAAGAGGAAGAAGAAGATTATATTTTTTTTCTTTAATTAAATAAATTAAAGAAAAATAATTATAAAAATAATTAAAATTTTATAAATTTATATATTAAAATTAAAGTTAAAATAAAAATTTTAATTATATTTTTTAAAATAAAAAAAAATAAATAAATAAAAATCAAATTCCTTTAAATTTTATCAAATTAAAGGAATTAAAAATAAAAGATTTAGAGGGAGTTCATTGTCTCTCTAGTCTTTATTTACCTTCCACTCCGTCTCCCTCCCTTAATGACTTTATCCAAATAAGAAAGAGGAAAAACCTTTTTTCTTCGCTCTTCTCCCCTTCACCCTTAACCCTCTCAATCTAAACTGAGGTTAAGAATATGTTTAAATAAAAATTAATAAAAGAAATGAAAGGAAAGGGATTGGAAGGGAAGAGAGAGGAAGGGAAGCTAAGTAAAGGATTAGTACTAATTTTGTTTAGGTAAACTTTTAAAAAAAGCTCAAAAGAGAAGGGAGGGGAAGATCATATTTTTTTATTTAATTAAATAAATTAAAGAAAATCAATTATAAAATTAATTAAAATTTTATAATTTTACATATTAAAATAAAAATAAAAAAAATTTTATTTTATTTTATTTTTTAAAAAAGTAAAAGGAAAAAATAGAAGTAAATCAAATTTGTCCAAAATTCTCTTGAATTAAAGGATTTGAAAGGAATTCATTATTTTTTCTTCTATCGTTTTGCCCCTTTTAATGAGTTTATCCAAACAAAATAAAGAAAATACCACTCCTCCTTTCCCTCACTCTCCTCCCTTTTCCCTCGTAACTCCTTCAATCTAAATAGGGTGTAAAATATTTTTTACAATCTCACCTCAAATTGAGATCTATTACCCACTCAAAGTCAAAATCCAACGTACAGAACTTCTCTTTCTACCCTCGTAATTAAAAGATTCAAAACACAAGTACAATGTCTAAGTTAGTGAGCTTCAGTTTATGTTCTCTCTACATTCCCTTTTCAATTGTTTTCATTCCTATTCCCTTTCCCCTCAAATCTCAGACCAGTCGGTGAACGAAAAATGGGGGACTGACAAACGAAAATGAAGGCACGACAGCAAGTTTAGA